TGTGTGGGGAGGTGACGAGACATTTCAGCTCCAACTTTCAGACATACTCCTTCTTTCAGTTAACCAGTACCCCATGGTCTCACTAGGGCATGTTACAAACTGCATTTGCTGAACAACATGTTTTAAAGCAAACCGCAAGTTTTAAGTCTGTCCTTCTCTCTCTCCGTCTCTGCATTTTATGTAAATATTTGTTTGTATGTAAAGACACCAGTGGATCCCTGGGCTACCCCCACGGTCAAGAATCTGAGTTTTGTGCAATGCCTAGGCCTCTCTTAGAACACGGTGCTTGCATAGAGCTAGTCACCACATTTGTGTGCACTCTGGTGGTTTTTAATATTTTTATACATCCTAATCCCGAACGTTATGAAGTATTATAAGTGGTCTAGACTGCATGATCTAGAGCAGCCGGCAGTTCCGTTTTGTGAGCAGCTGTTCCTAAAATGTTCACAGCTACACCTTGTTTGGTTAACATTCTTTTAAAATGAGTTTTCAGTTTAAGTGTTTACACCAGACGCCAGTGGATGAGAAAGGTGTTGCATTATAAAATCTCCCGTGTACAAACTGAAAAGCCGCGCTATGGCTTTGTGGGAATTTCAGTCATCACCGTCTGCAAGAAAGAGAACTCTAAAGCATACTAAAAACCAGCCTGTATATAGTTCACAGAGAAAGAGATTGCTGGCTCTCAATTGTTGTAAAATAACAGAGATTAGAAGCTTTCCAAAAGTTCCTGCTTTTGGAGTGCTCAGAGTACCGCTACAGGCAGGGTAGCAGGCAGATGAGGGTGTCACTGAAAGCAGATGTGAAGGGGAGGATGCCATGTTCTGATGGCATTGCAGTAACTTAAATACTCTGTATCTGTGCGTGCATGCGTGTGTGTGTGAAGTCTAATCCAGGTGAAGGGATCTGCTTTGGCATCTTCCCTTTTGTATGAAAGTGAACTCTGATATTCAGATCGTTCGAGGCTCTTACGGTTGGCATGTATGGAGTGTTAACGGAAAAGCGTATACCCTACCTGTACAAAACCAACTCTGTTCCAGCCTGTTTTCTTCTGTTGGGTTGTGTTTTATTGTTTGTTTTTATGCACACTTGCTTCATTGGTGTTGAGATTTTAGCACCTCAGATGGCCAACTGAACTAAAAAAACAAACAAAAAAAATAAAATCATTAATTATTTTTTCTTTTTTGTTGGTGGAGTTTCCGTTTTTTTTCCCTTGCATTCACTCCGGTGGTTGATGACCGAAGAGCAAGCTGGGACCTGAGGGAAGGTGATTGAGAGATAAAAACCTAGGTGTTAAAGGGCCTGGCTTCAGTTTCTCTTTTGCTGGAGCACTGAGCCACTCTGAATTATCTGATGCAAACAAATCAATCTTGATACAGCCCAAATACATGATCCTCTCTTCTCCATATTTTATATTGTTTCTTTGGATTTCCTGCAAAGAGAAATAAAAAAAATATGGTAAATAGCCAAGAAAGGATGAAGGTAATATAAATTGAATTGTAGAAACTGGGATTTAATTTCTGTAGGTGTAGCTCACTTCCTCAGCCTGCAGAACCAGCCTGAACATCTGATGCTGGTGTAAAACAAGGAGAGAATTACATGAATGCCTCTGTGCTGACTTTGTTGCTTTAAGTCTCCACCATTCCATGTTCCTGTCTCATCTGCACTGTGCCAGCTCTGCCATATGAGCTAAGCAAGGTGCAGCTCCAGAGCTGTGCCCCTTGATCAGACTGGAAGGATTCAGGATTTCAACCTCACCAGCTCAAGAGTCCAGAAAAGGTATCTGGGTATCTCCTGTTTGAAAAGGGCAGCTGTTCAGCCTCAGTGGTGGGTGCTGGGTCCAATAAACATCAGTAGCTTGAAGCCTGGCATAGTGACATCCAGCCAGCAGCATTGCTGTCAGTGAGGAGACTTGAGAGAAAAAACTTTGTGCCTTTTTTTTTTTTTTAACAAGCAGAAATTTCACACAGGATGCTGTGGGGAAATCCCAGCCAGGGAAATCCCAAACAATGAGTTTTATTTTCCTGCCCACTCAACCACTCTCAAAACAAAGGATGAACCCTGGTGTTCCTAAGGTGGTGTGATTAAAGCAGACCTATTAGGGCAGCAGGAGGGGTGATGGGCTTCGGATTTCCCCTTGCCAGGAGGCCGGGTTAGCAGGCTGTGCTGCAGGTGCACAGCTCACTTGTTCATTTGTGCAGCTCAGTAGGGTGGCAGTTCTTTGAGAACCTTTCAAACCCTGCAGTTCTTCCTGTCCTTTTGGTCTCTTGCTTTCAAACAGTAGTGGGAGAAAAAATAGTAGTGGGAGAAAGCCAGGGAGGGTGGGGCTAACTCAAACTCTCTGGTGTCAAAAGGCCAGTCCACAAGGATTTCTCCCTTGATGCCAAAAGAAAAATAAACGTATGGGCTCTGGGACACAGGAGGTCAGCTCCCATCCATAGCTTAGGAGGTAAGTGTTGTGACACTTCATCATGGCTATTTAATTACACTGTAAGCCTGTTAGTCCCCAGTCTCAATTAGGGACCCAGAGGTTCTGCTATTTTATAAACTATGAATGGACCAACTGGTCTCTTAGGGACGATTTCCTCTATTGCTTGCTTGGGCCAGCCCTCCGAGACGAGCAGGATTGCACGTCCTGCACGGATCAGCCACGTGTGTCTAAGAAATAACACCAGGAAAAGGCCCTCCAACAAATAAACCCCGCCCCAGGAGCCCAGCGTGGTGGCAGCTGCTGCTTTCCTTTTTCATTGATAACGAAAGTCGCCTTCAGGAGCCTCTGGCCTTTTCCACAGGTGGTGTCTCTGCCCTCGAAGCTGCCTCACCTTCCTGACGTCATTCCCCAGCTCTTTGGGAGGAGGTGAGGAACAGCACGGAAGTTACCGGGGTGGGAGGGAAAGTGTGCCCTGGCTGTGAGGAGCACAGGAAGGATGTCAGTGGGCTCACTGAGTAATGTGCAGAGCCCCTTTCTGGCAGCAGCAGATATATATTATCGTTTACAGCCCTCCTGCCTTTACTCAACCTGGATAAAGACAATGAAGGTAACTTGTCAGGAAAAATAACTAAGAGGAAGTCATGCCTAAAAAAACCCCACCACTCCAGCTTCCTTCACGTTTTACATTTTTGAAAATTCCTCACCATGAGTGCTGTGACAGCAATTAGCAATTGCTGCCTACATTAGCAGTTGCATTTTTAAGAGAATGCAAACCTAATCCTGTAAGGATGCTGCTACTTGGCCACACATCTCTAAGAATTCAAGCACAGCCTGAGTGTATCTTCCACATTTAAATCCTAAACATCATCATCAACAGGGCAATTACCAGGGAAAAGGATCATACAGGTGGTAATGTGTGAAAAGTAACAGTGGTGACTTGTGGGCTGCATCTCTGCTGGCACCATCCTCCTGGAGAGCCAGAGGAAGGGAGGGGGTCTCCTGCCTCATTTTATAGGTATTTAGACTTGCCTCCCTCCTTAACCTGCATCCTTTTACACAGCACTTAAAATAAGGAAAGAAAAGAAAAAAAAAAAAACTAATCTTGCCCTAACCAAGCTTCAGAAAAAGTAACGTTTTCCCTTGGCACCTTGGGAATGGTGTAAATGCCTGTGGATAGCAGGAAAGTGGATAAACTAGTATTTCCAAACCTGCAGAGTGTGTGGGGCTTTTCTGCATGTCTCAGGAACAGAAGTCACGTGAGTTTCTGTAAGCAAAAGATAACATCTCTTGTTTATTATTAACATATCCTATACAAATGTATAATCTGTATTACTCAGATACCAGAATCAAAAAATATAAAAACCACTTATCTCAAGAGAAAAAATATACTTTGGGCACAAGGGAGAGAGTATGTCTTGCCTACTTGGGCCTAGCAGTGTTGACTTTCTGAGACCAAGCTGAAAAGTTTGAAGAAACAGAAACTTTTCTTCAGTTCCTTGGACCTTACAAAAGTTGGCAGATGTCACTTTTTCCTCCCCCCTACATCATGCCCAGCAGGAAGCCACCTGATGGATTGACCAATACGACTCAAACCCGAATCAGAGTGGGTTTGGTCCATTTTGTGGAGTCTCAGGAACTTTAGAAAGCACTCTAAAGATCAGCCCATCCCTGGTAAAACACCCTTGGCATGACCTGTGGGGCGATCCCAAGGCTGAGCGTGGCACTGTGACTGTGCGTGTTGGGAAGAAAAGCGTGACGGGGGGAAACCTGCACTGAATATCAGGTAAGTATTGCTTTAAGCAGAACTGTGTTAAAGCGTAAGGCTGTATTAAATACCAATTAGTTTAAGTAGGACGATATTAGTTAAACAGGACTATATTACTAAACCTGGAAGGAGGTTGTAGCCAGATGGGGGGCGGCCTCTTCTCCCAAGCAACCAGTGACTGAACGAGAGCACATCATAGTCTTTAGATGCACCAGGGGAGGTTTAGGTTGGACATTAGGAAGAGGTTTTCTCACAGAAGGGGTGATTAGACATTGGAATGGGCTGCCCAAGGAGGTGGTGGAGCCACCATCCCAGGAGATGTTTAGGAAAGACTGGCATTCAGTGGCATGGTCTGGCTGACACGGTGGTGGTCGGTCACGGGTGGGACTCGATGACCTCAGAGGTCTTTTCCAGCCTAATCGATTCTGTGACATTAAGCCCATAAAACGACATTAAACGAAAACTGAAATCCCATTTGTAAGGAAGGGAAGTGGCTACAGATGGGGCACAGACCAGGAGGCTTCGCCCAAGCAGCAGCACGAGGTGGGGATCCGTCAGAACTCCGCAGCTACGCTGCCTGCTCCCGCCCGGAGCGGATCCCGTGCCGGGGAATTGTGCTGTGTTGGGGAATTGTGCCGTGTTGGGGAATTGTGCCGTGCTGGGGAATTGTGCCGTGCCGGGGATTCCCCGCTCGGGCGGCCCGCGGGGCTCGGGGCGGGCCCGCAGCGCTCCCGGCGCGGCGCCCTCACGGCCCAGGCGCGCGCGGCCGTTGGCGGGGCCCGCGGGGCGGGGCCGGAGCGGAGCCTCTCAAATACCGGGAGAGGCGCCTTCACCGCCGCTGCCGAGCGCTCCAGCCCCGCTCCCGGTGAGTACCGCCCGCGCCTGCCCGGCTGCGGGACACCAGCATCGCCCCTCCGAGAGGTCAGGGCCGCCGGCGGTGTCGGGGCTGGGGCCGGGCCCGCCGCCTGTCGGACCGCGGGGCATCCGCGCCGGGGCGGGCGCTCCTCGCAGCCCCCCGGCCTGCGGGGTGAAGGGACCCCGCGGGGGGGGGGAGAGGGGGCGTGCGCGCCTTCTGCTTTCCCTTATGGATGCTGGGAACTCCTTCTGGTCCCCCCGTTCTCCCTGAACTCCTCTGCCCTTCTCCCTTTGCCTTCGTGCCCGCCGAGCCCGGCCTGGCGCTTTATCGGCGCGGTGGTTTCTCGCTTTGCCGCGTTTCCCGCTCTGTCTCCGATGGCCGTGGCGCTGTCCCACCCGTCCCTCCGCCCGTGCTGGCAGCGACCCTCGGCTCTGCCGTCGCCACCGGCCCCTCTGTGCTTCCCCCGCCGGGATCCAGCCGCTCTCTGCCCCCCTCTTCCCCGCTTCTGTCCTCCCTCCCGGAAAAGGGGCTATCTCATAAACCATAAAAAAGCTCCCTCTTGCCTTTGGACTACGTGGTAAAGTCCAACACATCGCCCTCAGTCCCTGGTGAGAGTTTTCGCACTGGAGGGGTGTTTGCTGGGCAGGGAAGAGGAAGGAGTTAATCCTGTAGCGGCAACTCCGGAGGGACCCGCGCCTGCCTCAGCCTTCCAGCAAGAGGGATGTGGGAGTGGCAGCTACGGCGAGAAAGCGAGGCGAGAAAGGATTTCTAATAATAGCGTTAAAACTTGTAGGAAAAGCTGGTGATTGATACGGGTGAGTCAGCTGAGTGTGTGCTTTTCTGCGCTCCCGGTGCCTTCCCCGGTGCTGTAGGTGTCCGGCTGAGGTGGTGAGCGCCCTGGGCTGTCCCTTTGTTTCGCGTGAGGAGCGCTCACGTTCCCGTGGCCCAAGGACATGTTCGATCCAAGCTGGAGCTGGAGGCTGGGCGATGTGCGAAGCGGGAAGGAACTGAGTGAGCGGCACCCCTTCTTTAGGGGGGTGTTTCTGTAGTGCACGTGGTCTGGTGATGGTCTGTAACTTGGGGTGGCAGTGCCTCTCGAACTGATGGGTTTGGGGGGCTTCTTGTCTTCTTTTAAAGCACAATATTTTGTAGCTTTAAAAAAAAATAAAATTACAGGACCTCAGAGTTATTTAAATCACCGAAGTCTTAATTCAGAAAGTCCATGCTTATTTCAGAAGTTGTGAACTTTTCTTGGTGTTTCTTGGGGTATCTGGGCCAAAATCTTTCTTGTGGGAGACCTGTTATCTTTTCATAACCGTTAAAATGTTTGGTGGAGGAGGGAACAAAGTGGTTCCCCAACAGAAAATAATTTTTAAGGTTTTTGTTTTGGTTTGGTTTCTTCATAAAGGACTTTTTGCAAAAGTCCACTTGTGGGGAAGATTGGTTGGTGGTGTGTTTATAACTTTTTGTCACGAATCAGAATGAAACTGTTTTCACCTGCCTGTGGAAGTATAACATCTGAGAAGGTGTTATTTTAAAAGAAGGGGGTTTTCTGTGTGGTTTGGTTTTATTTTCCACTCCTTTGCAACTTCTTTACATAAGTTTAGTGCTGTTCAGGGTCTTCTTTAGGATAAAGCTTTGCAACACCTATTGCTTGTGATCTCCTCTGTGCCTGTAGTGTTTCACAAAAACACTGGGGGAATGCACTGTATAAAAAATGACATTCTAACACTGTGCTAGAATTTGCTTGGATTTCTGCAACCCACTTTCCTGTCTTCCCTTCTAGGTCTCTTGTCTGTCATTATAAAGCATTTCTGTTGTGCATGTGCAAAGTGTAACAGGTGATTGCAGACCTTGTGGATAGGCTGCCCTGCATCAAGAAAGGTGGGTGTGAAAATCCCCCCTTCTGATTTGGCAGCGCCTTCTTGTTTGCACTGGGTGACATTTGCTGAATTTATGAAGAGAAAATATGACTGATTCTTGGTTAGGTGGTTTTGTTGGGTTCCTGCCCTCCCAGTTTCTCAAAATCAGATTAGGCCAGCTGAAACTGTGAGTTCAGCTCAGTTTCTCGCTGCAGCAGAACAATGTGCAACACTCCACCAGGGCTGCCTGTGCAAACCTGGACTCTCTGCTCCTGGGAATTGGGCATGTCTGTACCCAGCACCGGGATGCTACACCTCTGGATAACGTGAGGGCCTTGTAAAGGTGCTCAGTGTGGCTCTTTATTTGTGTTAGCTCCCAAAACAGTAAGAGCTGTGATATATAATTAGGAAAGGTTGGGGTGTGTGTGTGTGTTCACTGAGCACTCTCAGCTGGGGTCATGTTATGCCCATGTTGTTTCCGTATATGTTGTGTTTCCTGTGTAACAGGATGACAGGAGTCATCCACATTCAGCAGTAGCCTGAGGAGCTGACAGATCAAACAGATTTTTTTTTTTCCTGTAATAGAATGGAAGTGTTTAGACTGGAAGCAGGGAGACACATAAATCTAGTGACTGTCAGCTCTGGAGACCTTCCTGGAGCAGCCTTGTGCTTGGAACTCATTGCTTGCCCTATGCCTCTTCAAAAGGAAGAGAAGGGACTGTCTCTAATACCAGGTTCATATGCCTGATGCAAGGGCTGCTGGGGGAGCAGCTACTAGGTGTTGGCTCCTTGATAAAGCAGCTCCCTTGGCCTCTGGGGACGAACTACCAAGTAGGAGTGGGGTAGGGAGCCAGCCTGGTCTGCGGTTTCTCTGCTGAAAGGAATTGCCTGCAGATGAGCAGGTTTCATTTTCACCAATCACCAGTTCCTTGACTAGTGAAAGAGCAGAATTTACTATCAATTCTTGGTTTGGGTGGGTTTTTTGTTGGTTGGTTGGTGGCTTTTTTTTTTTTTTTTTTTTTTGTTGTTTTTTTTTTCAAAAAGCCTTCCTCTGTGTTTTCTTGGCATGCTGTGGCTTTTTGTCCATGGCAGATTACGGAGTTTTGGGGGCTGGAATTATCTCCATATCTGTGCGCTCTGTAAAGCATGTGCAGATATTTCTAATTAGTGAGTGAAACTCATGGCCAAAGGTGCAAAACTCTTGAAAACTGAGCCCCTGTTAGTTTTGGATGGCTTGTTTTGGGATTGGAGGAGGTTGCAGGGGGCTGAGTTCATCTTTAATTAAAACTCATTAGTAGGGATTACAGATTGTGCATAGATGGTCCCTTCCCCAGAGATTTTACAAGTCTGATTTTTCTGACCCAGAGTAGATAAGAAGGGTACAGGAAAAGGAGGGGTGAAAGGTAAAAAGACACGTTGAGTCATGCAGTGTCCAATTTCATTCTTTAGGTTTTGAAAGCAATCCATTAAGCTTCTGTGATTGCCTTGATTTGTACCAGACGTCTGTAGTGAACCATGTCCTGACACCCTGCTGTTATCCCGTCTATCCCGGGAAGTGAGCAGGACTCTGGCTGCCAGTGGTGTGCATTAGGCACCTCCTTGCACCTGGATGTGGTGGCACGGATTGCCTCCTCCGTGCTTTTTGAAGGAATTGCTCAGTGCAGAGCACAGGGGTGTGTTGTCTCTTTCACACCCTTCTTGGCAACAGCTGCTCCAAGAATCCTTCAGTCCCCTCCCCTCCAGTAGCCCCATGGCTGGGAGCATTGTTAGCACTGCCTTGGGCACTAAGTGGCTTCTGTTCTTGACCCAGTCTGCTGGTTTCTCTGTCTCTTTGCACCACTGTGGCACTGCATGGAGGTGCTTCCTGGCCGTGACAGGCTTTGATTGGACTGTCCTTGCTGACAAACCTGAGGAAAGGCCTGTACACCTTAATGCATCCTCGGAATGCTGCCCTTTCTCGCAAGGGAGGACAGTGTCATTGTGGCTTTAAACTCCTCCTACTCCAGTGTTTTGCTGACCACTTTCCTTTAAAATTTCAGAGCTTTTATTCAGCCTCACTGAAGTACGAGCAGGGGAGCTGGACTGCGTGTGCAATCATGGCACACACCGATGTTGAATTTTTAAGTGTCTGCAAACCTGCTGTATTTCCTGATAAAACGCTGCGACCTTTGGCCAGTTGTTAGTATGCTCTTGCTGCTGTTCATGGAATGGGCAATGCCCAGGTCTCTCCATACTGGGCTGTTTTCTTCTCTCCGTTAAAGGAGAAAATTCGTTCCTTGCTCAGTGTAACTTCTGGTTAGTTCGGTGTAATTACTGTAACATCTTTAGATTGACAGCCACACGAAACGAATCCACTTAGATCAGCTACTTGCTGTGTTTCGGTTTTGTCTTCTCTTCCTGTGTTTCAACATCAACCTGTGTTTTCTCCCAAGTTAGAACTGAAAGTGAAATGGTTTTGTGCCACTTCATGCACAGTCATGTATTTTCTCCTAGAAAAAAAAAAAAAAAGACACTTTTTCACTGTGTTTTTAGACCTGCAGCTGTAGCTGTTGAGTGGAAGAAGCAGCATGCTGAGGCATCTCCTGTTTATCTGGCACTAGGAAATGTGTGCTCCTGGAGGCAACTGCTCTGCAATTCTGCTGGTAGTTTCCAAATGGCTCCTGCAGTGTTTCTTTGAAAGGGGGTATTTCCTTAGCTGTGTATTTTTGTTAAAGGTGTTTAAAAGAGGTAATGCTTTCTTTTATGCTCAGAGTGTTTGAGGCGCTGCTGTCAAAAAGGCTTTGGTCAGGGTTATGAATGCCAGTTTGAGTTACCATCATTTATGGCTGCCTGGTTTGATGCACAACTTCCTCTTAAAGGTTCTTGAGGGTGTCCGGGCTCCTGTCATAAGAGATGATTTTTTTTTTGTCATTTTTTTGTGGCTTTTTTTGTTTGTTTGTTTTTGGTTTTTTTTATTACTGATTTGATCAATTTAATTATGGTGGCGGAGTGGGAGGTTGCAGCGCAGCACAGCGGGAGAGTGGAATCAAAGGACCAGTGTCAGGCTTCCCTTCTGGGGATTGTCTCTCTGGCTGTTTGTGCTGGTATGTGGTTTTTTCATAAAAGTGAGGAACGTAAGAGATGTTTATATCTGTGATATGCTTGATG